ACAGTACTGACAATGTTGTGTGGTAACGATGTAATGCCGAAGATCACCACCATCGACACCAATATCAGCGTTACACGTCGTCGCTGCTGCATGACGCGCTTCTTCTGCTCGATCAGATGGGTCAACTGCAGCGGAATTTTGACCGTGGTCCCTTTAGATTTGAAGAAAAGAATATTCACCTGCTCTTTGTGCTGCTGCGTGTCACCACCGGCTGTGGCAGCTACGACATACAACAAATTTGCCTGCTGTGCGATGGAAGTCAAACGAGATTGTGCTCGTCGTCGGAGGAATGAGAATACCTAAGATGGAGACAGCTTACTTCAAGTGGGATTGGTATAGATATAGGCCATAAGCGCGCGTCTCTGCGCCGAGCTTCTATTCATCAGGGGGCGCAACATCAGTAGGCCGCTAGAGACTGAAGGAAAAGTGGAGAGGGCAGACATGGTCCTGCCACGACACACTATAGTAGGTCGCAGACAGACCCAGGCAACTCCTACGCGCGTCGTGCCATCTTATTAACCAATTCCAACCGAAAAATTTCTACGAACCGCTTGGTAGCAGATGGTCATGATCGTGAATGGAATCACAAACTGGATAGCTAGCACAAAGAGAGTGTATATCCGCTTTGAATGCACATTCGGCCATTTCTCAGTACAAAACTCTCCGCAGACGTCTGAATAAAAGAAGATAGCGATTGTGGGAAGAAAATTGTAAAACTCACTTATTGCCGGATATTTCTTCATTTTCATATGGTAGACATATGGTAACGTCACTAATATTGAGATGATCCATAAAAGAACCGTAATTCGGATCGCATTTACTTTCCGGAGAGGGCTTCCTAAAATTACATTTTCTTCTCCTCTGAATATCTCTAGGCTGTACAACAAAAGGCGGCATTTGTCTGGAAAAGTTCACTGTTTCACAGAAGTGAAGTACATATTCATCTGTTTTGGTGAACGAGTAAGAATACTGGAAAGTGAATAGCAGTTTTCTCTCAAATACTGAACTGTATCAATCGTTTCATCGACTGCTTCTATCTTCCACATCTCAGCTTATTTTGGGTGCTTTGAAAGCAAATATTTGGAAAAGATGTTTTATTGAATTGTACCTGGGGCAACGACCAGTCGAAAATAGCGGTCTATTGCTATAGCACATAATGAGAATGTGCCAATAAAAACTCCGATGGCTTGGATGCCTCCGACGACCCGACACAACATCGACCCGAAGTACCTGGAACATTTATGGGAAATGGAGCGAAATTTGAGGAAGTAGTAATGCTCACGCTTGACTTTGAGCGTTTTGCTTTGATTAAGAAATCAAGCAAACTGTAATTTTCTATCTACCCTCTCTCTACCCAAAGTCTCCTTGTGAGCAGTTTCAACATAAGGAAGTGCTAAATACTTTCGACAAAATCTTCGCACTTTTGAGAGTTTACTTCCTGATCTAATAGATTGAGTCGCGAGTAACTAGACTAATTCTCTCTTGTCTGCACTTGTAACGCAATAATATTGAGAGGCGAGAAGATGAAAGATTTAGCTTTCAGTCAGCCAAAAAACTTAGTC